ATATAGAGTAGAATAATGGCAGTTTTTTTTTCTGTTATTTACCTATTATTCACCCTTTATTCATTCATTCGACCTGTAGAGGTGTCTGTGACTTGCTTGACTTGAGGAAATTTTTGGGGTTTATATATCTATTAACAATCATTAAAACTAAGCGTCAAAGCTTAATAATTAATAGAGCGAAGCATCAAACATCAGGTGTCAAATGTCAAGCATCAAGCATCAAGCATTAAGCATTAAGCATCATGTGTCAAGCATCAAGCATCAAGTGTCATGTGTCAAACACTGTATTTGTTCTACCTACTATGACTAATAATAATAACTAATGCTAATAATAATAATACTAATAATAATAATACTAACAATTAATAATAAAATATACATTCATGAAACTATACTAAAATATAATAATAAAATTCGTTCTATAACAATACTATATAAAATATATGATGTCAGTGGTATTTTTCATATAGGCATTAGAACATATTGATTAAATCGAGAAGTTAATGCATGCAGAGTTTATTTATGCTACACATGATTTTGCAAAGTTTGTGTTACTTTAGCAATAGTATAAAGAATAAGTAAAAAAAAATTTAATCAAAAATGAAGAATTTTTTTATTTTATCAACTTTGTAACAAGTGTCTATATTAAAAAGAGAGCTGGTTATAAAGGTGTTATTAGTAATGAAAAGATGCTGGTAATGCAAACAAAAGCACGCATTATGTTATCTATCTTTTTATTCCCATAGTGTTAAATAACATATTAAATCAGATAAATACACAAGATTAAAAAAATTATATAAATTAGTAAATCTCATAAATACCAAAATAATTAATGACAATAATCAAATTGTTTACATTAGCAAAATCAAACACTCTATTTAAAGTGAAATAATGAAAAAATTTAATGAGACAATAAAAAAAATTTTAAGCCTAGGTTTTATCTTGTATAGAACTTGTTTTTTTTTGCTGCTGTATTATAATTTTATAATATGTAAGTATAGTATCTTTAATACCAATATTTAATGTTCAATAGTATAAAAGAATAATAAATTAAAAAAAAAAAAATCCAATGTCATTTTTTGATTATGCCTTGTAAAAATTGTATTGGATAGTTTGGAAGAATTTAATTCTTTATCTAAAAATGAAGATAATAATAGCGATGTCGAATTATTAGCTTCTACATCTACTTAAATTTCATCTACTTGCAATTTAAATGTTATTAAAAAAAAAAACCCAGGAAGTTTCGTTTGGAAATTTTTTAAAAAATATATAGATTATCAAGATGAACAAACTGAAAAAGCTTAATGTTCAATTGAAGGATGTGAAACAACATATGTGTAGAAAGGATCCACTACCAATTTAATAAGCCATCTTCGTGATATACATCAAATTACTAAAGAATTATTTAAAGATAAATCATTAAAAATTAAACAACAAATGATTTAGCAAGTAATTTCAAGACTCCACTCTTTCTATATGCAAAAAAACTTACATATAAACTTGTGCATTATATAATCTTACGTGCTGAACCCATTCATATAGTTGAAGATAATAATTTTAGACTTTGGGCAAAAAGTCTTGATCCTCAGTTTGAAATACCATGTGTTAATACAATTAAAACCATTATATTTAACTCCTATAATTCTACAATAAACCAAATTATAAATCTTATTTCAAAAACATCAGATACAGTTTCTTTAACCTTTGATATTTGAACATCATGAGCACACAATAGCTATTTAGGAATTACTTGCCACTGGCTTACAGATTCATTTGAATTATACAAGGTTGTACTTGATATAGAAGAGTTGGACGAACATAATGCATCTGATATTATTAAGTCAGTTAATTTGGTTCTTAATAAATTTAATATTGATCATTCAAAGATCTTTACTATTACTACAAATAACAGTTCAAATGTCAAATCTGCAGTGCAACAATTGAATATTACTAACATAAAGTGTGCTGGACATACACTTCAATTAAGTGTTAATTTGGATTTAAAGGAAGTTAATGATCTTATTTCAAAATGTAAATTACTTATTGCAATTTTGTCAAAAGAAAAAAAATATAAACAGCTTCATGAAGCTCAATTACAAATTACTTCAGGGTTAAAACAATCTTTAGATATTATTAAAGATGTGGATATATGTTGGAATTCCATCCTTTATGCTATTAAATGTCTTATGCATTTAAAACCTGCCATTATACAATTATACTCAACTCTTACTAATCATACTATTAGAGAAATTAGAAAAGAAGCAGAAACTATGAATTCTTTTATTTCTTTTACAAAAGAATTTGAATTATTAGAAGAACTAATAGAAATTCTTTTTCTTTTTGATGAAGTAACTTAATTCTTAAGTGGATCCAAATACCCAACCCTTGGGTTTATGATACCAATTTTGAAAGAACTTGCTCATCAGCTCAGGTACTTTACAGAAAAAAGTAATAAGGCTATTCTTGTTAAAGAAACGATATTGGACAATTTAATTGAATGTTAGGGAGATCCAAGTGAAGTGGGCATGTGCTGTTCCTTTCTTAACCCAAGATTTAAAAAACTAAATTTCTGCACAAGTGCTTTACACTATTCAACTATCCAGAATATGCATCATCAATTTAATGAACTTTGTCCAACACCAACCTCTGATGATGATATTAATAATGATTTGATTTTAGCATTTTCACATTCATGTAAAAAATCCAAAATGTCAACATTTTTTATGCATTTACGAACAGAAAACTCTAATGTTGAATTCAATGAATTTGACCAGTATTATCAACTGCTTGAAATTTCTCTTGATGAAGAGCCTTGACCTCTAAAATAGTGACATAAACACAAAACTCTCTTTTCTATTATGACAATTTTGGCAAGGTGATACTTTGTGGTGCCGGCTTCCTCTGTACCATCAGAGCATTTATTTTCCAATGCCAGAAATTATGTGACGAATAAGCATAATAGACTTAGTCCAGACTTATTGAATCAATTGGTATTTCTTAAAAAAAATATGAATTGTATTGACATTTTTTCTTTACTTGATTAAAACAATGGTTTTTATGTACCAAACACTTTATCGAATGCTTAATAAAACAATTATATATTTTATCATTTAATGGAATTTAAATTTATATTTAGAATTTTTACCTTAACTCAAACTTACAATTTTTATTACTAAGCAACAATTTATAGGATTTAACTTTGTAAGTATTACATTTATATGTTGATTTATTTAAACTTTGAAATTCAAGCTTATTAATATGTATTTATCTTAAAAAAGTGCTTTTTAAGTTGTTAAATTTTATTAGCATAATGAATAATTAAGACTATATAATTTTTAAACAGCACTTTCTTTGTAATTTAGTCATTAGTAGGTATGAAGTTATTTATTGATTTATTTAAGCATAGTAAATTATATTTATCTTTGATCAATATTTTTCAGGTTATTTAATTCACATAAAACTTAGTGGATATAACTATTACTTTCTAAGATCTGATAATCAAGCTTGCAAGTATTACCTTAAATAGCATTTTTCAGATCATTTAATCTTGTGGTAAATTGTGCGTATAAGAACATTTATTACTCTTTTAATCTGCAATTTAAACATATATATGTATTTATCTATAAATGGTACTTTAGCCTTTTAATTTGCACTAGTTTTGTTGTGTTGAAAAAATCTTGCATAGCACACTTAAATCTGTGATTTGACTCATAAATATTTATATTAAACATGTTTTTCAGTTTAAATTTGAGCAAGCACAAATTGACAACTTTATTTAAACTTATTAAACATATAATTATTTGCCTTTAAGCAAAGTTGTCTGATTATTTGTAATAGGTATAAAAATTATTTACTGCTCTATTTAAACTTTGCAATTTAAATTACTAAGTATTTCATTAAAATAGCACACTTGGTTGTTTACTTTGTATGAATTTTGTGAGTATAGAAATAATCATTTATTATTACATTAAAATGTGTGATTTAAACTTATAAATATTTATCTTATAAAGCACTTTCCAAGTATTTTACTTCATATTTTCTTGGTGTATATTGGGATCATTTTATTATTCTATTTAAATTTTGTAAATTAAACTTATAAGCATTTTTCTTTGAAAGTATACTTCTTGCCATCAGATTTGCATTATTTTAGTAGATATAAATATCAATTTATTATTCAATTTCAATTTATATATATAATTTAAGCTTTCAAATTTTTACATTTAATAGTGCGGATATGGGTCCCATAGCTTAGCGGTTAAGCTCCCATGCCCCCACAGACAAGGTCAACGGTTCAAGTCCGGCTGGAGGCA